AGAAAGAGGCTAAGGGCCATTAGAATGGGAGTTCCACAAGGCCAAGCTCTTATCATGTTCCTTGTTGCTGGGTCCTCAGTGATCGTAACAAGCCTGGCACTTAGGAAACTTTCAGTAAATACTTGTTGAATGAAAGAATGAGAAACCAAGTAGAAACACCAGAGGTTACACATAACATCAGGGATGCAAAAGAATTCACGACTAGGAGGCTTTTCCAGATCCCTAAAACCCCTTTCCTCTCCAGTCCTTGGAAATGGGATTCAAACTCTTCATTTGGAATCCTCCACGCATAACTTTCTTTCAGAGACCCCACAGCATGGGGACTGGGTGGAGGACAGGGCTTGAGCACATGGAGCCAAGCTGGGGAGTGAGGAAGGAAGGAGACAGGGCACATGCACGCGCGCTCGAGCATACCCACACACACCTGTCTACACTGCAAAGCTGGTACCCTGACATGCCGGGCTTGGTCAGCGTGGCTCAGGGCCCCAGCAGGCAGCAGCCACACACACACAGACAGCAAAAGGCTGCCTCCCATGGGTCTGGAGCTGCCTAGGCCCGCTTCTGTCTCAGCAGGTGCTGTATTCGAATGACCGCATCTCCCTGGGGAAATCCATTGTGAGCAGAGGCCAACCCGTTGAGGTCATCAGCTGCCCATCCCCACTACGTCCAACCCCAGATGGTAGGGAATCAGACTGTTGCCATCTGACAACCACGCTGACAAGTCAGCTACTGAGCTTGCCTCTCCCTCTGTGCTGGGGGAGACGAAAAGAGGGGAAGCTGAGAAGAGGGTAGAGTCATTTGAGCAGGAGGGCCGCTCCGTGTAGAAGATCCTGAGACAGCCCAAGATGTGCAGCTCAGGGCAGTGAGGTGAACCTCATTCAGGTGTGCCGACCACAGGGGGGCTGGGAGCCATACCGTCCCCGCCGTCTGGGATGCCTGCGGCCCATCACCCCTGCCCGAAGCACATCCCTCAGCCCTCAGTAAGCGTGCTGCTGAACCCATCACTTGACAGGTCGTCCAAGCTGACACCAACCTGTAGACCAGACTCCAAGAGAGTCTAAAAATGGAGACAGAGAAAGAGACCCTGAGACAAATAACTGTGACTCACTCTTTACTTAAGAGCACAGGGTACAGAGCAGCTCTTGGGGGATTCAAGGTGGGCTGGGTTTGGGGAGCTCTGCCCCTCTCCACCACTGGCTCGACGAATACAGAAGTCCATGCAGAAAATGCAAGCAGAGTCTGCTAAGGTTTCTTTTTTTCTCTCACTTTCCTTAAACGGCTAAATCCCAGACATCTTACAAGTAGGAAATATGCAAACTGCAGAAAACCCCTCATGGTCCTCAACCTTCCCTCGCCGATTACCGAAGCATCAGCCGGGAATCTCAGGTTCCTGGGTGCTCAGAAGAAGCAAGCTCCCAGGGAAGGGCCAGGAAAGAATTTCACAAGTGCTCTCCACCCATTCTCCCACTTCATTGTTCTACACCCCAAGGTCTTCCCCGGGAGGCTGAGAACTCCCCTTCCGCACCTCACAAGCAATCCTGCCCAGGAGCCGCCCCTGACTTTGCTCCTACGCTCCCCAAATCATCCACGTTCCTTCTCATCAAGGCCACAAAAACAGGCACCTCAGGAAAATCCACTCAGGGTAAATTCACGATCTCGAAACACATTTTGCTCCCCAGCCATGTCCCAGCTGTCCAATCCGTCTCTACCTCAGCTTCTGCAGCCTTCTACTGTTCTCAGCAAGCAGATCGGCAGAGCTCAAGGGGCTGCTGGCAGCCCTCTTCCTCTCCTCTGATCGTCCTCTGAAGCATCAATAAAACACATGTGGAGGCACGTGTGCCCCCCAACTCCCCCAATACACCCCCCCCTTGCATCTCTCTTCAAGGGCAAGGACCAAAGGAAAAGAAGGGGAGGGGAGCCAGGATGGGAGTGCCCCAGATCAATGGATATTTGAAACTCAAACACATGGCCCGGGACCTACGCTGCACGTGTTAATTACCACACATGTTCCCATAAAGGGGTCCGTTAAACACAAGGGGCCCAAAGAACAGAGCGAGGAAAGGACATTCCAAGGGATTAAGTAAATAGTCTGAAGTTCTGACCCTCCTCCCCTCCCAGAGCACGTGCATCTGGGTAAGATAACAGCGCCTCCCTCCCTCCTTCCCCCACTTCTCCCCTCGGGCTGCACACCTGTGGACCCCGAGCCTCAAGCCAGGCCTCCTGTCTGGGCCAGCCGCCTGTGACCTGCTACTGCCTGGCTTCTCTCCCTCCTCCCTTCCTCCTGCTATCTCTCGGAGCCTCCTCCCCCAGCCTCTTCTGCTCAGCCTTCTCCTCCTCTCCTCCGCAGGCCTAATTCCTGGCTGGCGACCAGACCCTCCGTCTCCGCACAATACACCTTTTCATTCCTTGCAGGCAGGGAGAACCGATCCTTCTGGGCCCGCTCCTCCCCTGGCCACCCCCGGCGGCCCCCACCACTCTCACACCCAGACCCGGGGCGTCCTTGCTGGGTGTGCCTCTCACCCTGCTCGAGGGCCGGGGCCGCAGCAGGCCTCAGGGCTGTGAGCCCCGGCTCTAGGGAGATCCCGTCTAGGAAACCCCACGTGTGGGCACCAGCTCAGACAAGGGGCCTTTGTGTCGTCCCACCTGCTGCCCTCCGGAGCACATTCCATTCTTAAGTGGCAGCTGAGAGAGGGACCTCGGCGGCCGACACAGGATATTACAAATGCCCTCTCGCACCCTGTCCCCCTTCCAGCTCCAGCTTCCTGGACAGGTGTGGCTTCAGGTGGCCCTTCCTACAGGTGGCCTGAGCCTGCTTTTCTCCTCGCTGCAGACAAAGAGGAGAGGATTAGCACCTAAGGTGACCCTTTCCAAAGTAAAAGGAAGGAGAGGCTCTGGGCAAAAGTCAAGTCTCCAGGGGCGAGGGCGCCCTAGCATCCCCCACCGGGCCTCTGCGCCAAAGAGAGGCTCTGCAGAACCATCTGGGAGGGAGGAGCCCATCCGGTGTAGGGGAGCAAGCTGCTGAAAACTAAGCAACTTATCTCTGCGATGAGGCTTCAGACTCTATGCCCCTATTCCGTGCACCATCCCTGGAGGAATCAGGTGACCCTGTCCTCTCCCAGCTGAATCAGCAGGAGCCCGCAATGGCTACGGGTCTGTTTCTTTTGTTGTCCACAGGGTGCAAAGCCACAGCAACCTGGGAAGTACTCCTCTGTACAGTTTAAGATCCCAGACCCCACGGTCCACCCTTCTTGGCGTGGGAGCTCCATTCAGCATCACGCCTTCAGCTCCCTTTGGTGGGGGAAATCTGGGCTGTCGGTTTTGCACGATTGCCGATTGCCTTCTACTATTGCCTCGATCTCGTGCCCCAGAACAGAGGCGATGTTCCTGAAGTCTTCAGTTGCAACAAGTCAAATTGAAGGCAGCTCCCCATTGCAACTCCAATAAATTGCAGACAGACACACAAGCCATGCACAGTGTTGAGGAGTTCAGATCTTTGCAGGAAGAAACATTCACACCCCTCTCCCACTTTGCCACCTAGAAGGGAACTGCCAACAGGCACGGCTGCCTCTCCCTGTTCTGGGAAGGACCTGGAAAGGCATCTGCTCCCTTCTTTTTACCCCCATATGCATTCCTGCTGGCAGGAACGCCCATTGGTCCGTGTTTTCTAGTGGGATCCTGATGCTCCATTTCCACATCCTCTTGGAACGCCTGAACTCAGCCCAGCAGCTTCTCCAGAGTCTCATTTCCTGCATTCAGGGAGGGTGGTTTTGCCTCCTCTTCCCATTCCCATGGGATAAGCATGTAGGGCGGGCTCCAAGGCCTCGCCTCAGTCTCCCTGCGACCACGGGTGCAGGTCAAGCCCATGTACCTCACGCTGATCCTACCCAGGCCTGACGCTCCATGTGGACATTTAAGAACATGAAGTCCCCAAGGCCCAGACACAGGTGCGAAGCCTCAAACTCAGCTACCATCTCCTGGCTGGGCTTTTACCCAAGAGCCCAAAACAGCGGTCCCGGAGTGCTTGCACACGCAATGACATTGGCATTGGTTCTGCCTGCAGCTGCTAAAGCGTGCTCACTCTCTCCCCCTCTCTTTCCCTCTCTGTTATCCCGGTGGTGAAGCCCAGTGTGTCTCACACTGGAAATGTGGTCAGCACAGCCCAGGGACCTAGTCCTCATGTTGGCTGCTCCACTAAACAGCACTCAGACAAATGCCTTAATTGAGGTTAGCCACATAATTTGTAGGGCCCGGTGCAGAATCAAAATGCAAGGCCCTTTGTTCAAAAAGCAGGAAAATAGTGCCATGAAGGACACTGAACTGCACAGTTTGATCCTCTCTTCCGTGGTCTCTCTCCTGATTTGTTTTAAATTTTTCCATTTAATGTTGTTCTACGTAAGAAGGATGAAAATCTGCAGCGTCCCGTGGAAGCCCCACAGCCCGCACCACAAAAGCGATACGCCGACGGGGTGACGAGGACGCGCACACGTGCGCCTCCTGGTCCCGCTGGGCTTTCCGTTACAGAACACAAGTTCGAAGACAGGATGATTAAGAATTCCAAAACAACGGCAGCACGGGTTGCAAGCCTGTGAGGCCAGTTTCCTCTTAGTGAAGAAAATCTGATGCACTAGAACAGTTATTAGGGAGAATCAGCAAGGGACCAAAGATGTTCAAACCAGTGTCCAAAACAAGAGAGTCGGGGCAGACTTGGACATAACTGCCTTCGCGTCCTTTTCGGTTGCCTGCTGCCTACCTGGTACTGACTGCCTGAACGGCCCAGGAACCAAGGTTCTCAGGGTCCCTGCCAGCTCTGTACGCTGCGCTCACTCACCTCCCTCAGAAATTCTGGAAGCGTGGACCCCCACCTCCGTATGAGCCTTACTTACCTCCTCCCAGTCCTTCTAGGAAGAAACCTAGAATAGGAATGGAGATTTTCTGGGGGGGGACTTCTAGCCTACACCCAGGCTCCTTCCATCTTGTCTAGAACTCTTCTTGGACTGGCTTTAGAAGCAAACATTTGGACAGAGCATAAAACTCTACTCACCTTTCCTTCCTGAGTTACCCTGGCTCAAGGGCTTGTCGGTGACTGAACCTTGGGTAAAAGGGAAACACAAAACACAGACATTCAGAACGTATCGTGGTTGGTTTCTTTCAAAGAGCTGGCAAAGCCTGCAGCTGTAACCATATGGTTATGTATATACATGCACTGTATACATGTCTGGGGACATTCTATACAAAGAACGGACATACACGTCCAGTGGTGTTTGCTTCACGTCAATGTCACTGATATTGCAGTACCAGTGAGATGAACCATGATCTCCCGGCAATAATCCTGACCAGATTTTTACAAAACTTCCCTCCACAGAACTCCCTTGGTGAAGGTTCCAGTCACTGCCCCTCACCTCCACTCCCCATCTCCCCCACATCCCGCCACTGCCGTGCTCTGAGCCATATCCAGTCAGTAGGGCCAACTGAAAAGAAGCCCCTCTTACTGAAAATGCAATGATTGACATCCCTCGCTGGTTAGGGCAGGAAATCGGCGATTTTCCATCTGCATTAAGTAGAAAATTGTTGGCCCAATTGTACTGAGTGGGCCAAAATAGTCTGAGGCATGGAAACAATTTTCTAGACGCAGCCTATTCCTCAAAGAGGGTACAGTGTGTGTGTTTGGCCAAACACTTTGCCCTGCGTCTACTAGGACGCCATGTGCACCCATCCTGCGGTCCGGGCCCTGTGGCACCTGTCTTCTCCCTGAAGCCCACACATGCAGGCCAGAGTCAGCACACCCACGTAAGGACATCTGCGGAGGTCTGGCCACGAAGAGAAAAAAAAAAAAAAAAAAAGGATTCCCTTTTTTCTCATTCTGTACTATACCTCTTTCTCCATATATTAGTTTTGTGAGAATTCAATTATATTACTCTGCATGTCTTGTTTCTAGTGCATTTGTTTGCTTTACATGAAACTTTCCAGGACATTTGCAAGGAGGGCTCATTCCTGCTTCTCCCCACACCAACCCCAATTAAGGTTTCCAGTTTCCACGTAAACCACAAATAAAGTAAACTTTCCATTTTGGCCTGCAAATCTTGGTTTCCTAATGTAGATGCTTACTGCCTTTCTTACCATTCCCTTATATAGCAGGGCCGGTAGAAAAATGAATAAAGCTTGTGAAAAAAGAAAAATGTTAGGATAGCAGGGCTGTTGGCCCTTGGCATTTCCCATAGACTTTAGAACAATGCTTTATCCTTTGCTTGCACTTAAAAATTAAAGATAAGTAAATAAATAAAACCTCATAACACACAGATACAAGAAATATGAAGTGGCTGGTGAGGGCTTTCTTGAGTGAGGGCTGAGCCACACCGTGAATTAAGGGAGAGACCCCCAAGTCCCTCACCATCTGAACGGAAGTAGGAAGTGTGGGGCTTGTGTAAATCCAAAATCCATGATCCCGTGGGTTGACCTAAGAGCAGAATTTCTCTATGCTTGTAGAGTCGGCAAGAGAAAGGACTTAATGTCTCAGTGGACTAGTGTAGTGGGTCACTATGAAGCAATGATCCCCTCCCTCGTCCAGTTATCAAAACCACCTCAGAAGCTTCGCAGAGAGGTGGACTCTGGGTCTCACTCTAGACCTGCTGGATCGGACTATTCTGGGGAGCCTAGACACCTGGGCTCTTTTTTAATTCCCCGGGCGCTGCTGCTAACAGCCAGCTTGTAAGGCCACTGGGATGAAAGTTTCCATTCCTCTACATTACGTTGTTGGGGGGAGGAGGAGCAAATATATGGCACCCAGGCCACCACGTCCTCCTCGTGTGCCCGTGATGGACATCACTTGTTGATCCTCCAGTCTTTGAGGCCGAACACCCATCCGGTTTTAAAAATCTGTCTCAACAAAGTGCTCCCAAGACCGCTAGCAGCCAGAGCGCCCTGGCTGAAAGCTTAGATGCCATTCTCTAGGAATTCCAGCCGATGCTTTGGGAAGAGAGCATCGAGCCAGAAATCTCAACTCAAAATAAGGAAATATATACCCATAGGTATATACTGAGCCGTAGCCCAGCGGACCTCAGAGCAGGTGTGTCAGCGTGGAACGCTCTCTGACCTGGAAGAGGGCTCATGACCACCCGCCATCTTTCCGCCAAGTTTCCAAGGTTCCCCCACGAGATGCAGGAGACCAGCGGAGGGGTCTCTCTCCAACTCTTTTCTTTCTTCCCGCCCCTCCCTACGGTACCTGAACATACAGGAGTTTTATTCTGCACAGAAGAGCCACTGATGGGCTTCCCATCTGCGGTGACACACCAGCAGTACCCCGTGTAAGTATGGCACTGCACCTGTTCAGGGAAGCAGGGAGGATGAAGAGAACCGTAAGTTGTGGGTCACCATATCAACAGTCAGCTCCCACCCCTTCCAAAGCCTTGCCACCGTGGCCAAGGAGCTCCTTCCACCTCTCACCCAACACCTGTCCCAACTACCTCCTGCAGGTGGGTTGGTCAGTCAACAACATGGATATGTGTCTTCTGTGGGAGCCCCCAGGCCCAACCACAGCAACCTACCTACGTCTTCCTTATGACTTTTAATGCTGAGTATCTTATATCCTATCGACAGGTCCACTTTGTCTTTCCTGTGAGGGTTCTCACCAAGACCTGAACATTCCCCCCCGCCAAGCATTGGCATATACACTCCCATCCATCTGTAATAAATTCGGTTTGGTGAACTAATCGGGCAAGTCTAAGTTGGGATGTCGCCATGGGGGGCTGAAATGACCCTTCCTTAACTAGCAGTACAAGTAGTGGGCTCTTTTTCTTCCAGCTTCTCCCAGCATCCAGTCAGACAGTTGGCCTGCCTACTGCTCAGGTGGCTCTCGCGAGACCAGGGCACACACTAGCAGTTGCCCATGAGATGACGGGGGTAAGGTAAGAACGTCACTTTACTCTGCAGCTTCTAGTTCGAGATGCCCTGCTGCCCCTCCGTGTAATCATCCTCAAGCCTCCATACTTGGGTCCACCTCGTCTGGGAATAGTAAATAAAAATGAGGCTTTTGCTTCATTTGGGTAACTATTCTCTCTCTCCCAACAGCTATCACTCTGTTCACCTCCTCTCACCCCAGCGCCCCTCTTTCCCACCCATTTTGCAATGCAGAGTTCCTAAACACAAATCAAGGCATCACTCCCCTGCTGAAAACCACTCCGTGATTTGCCACTGGATTAGGATAGAGATTAACCTCCTGTATGTGGAGCTCAATCCCCCATGATCTGCCCCCTGCCTATCCCCCACAGCCTCATTTTATACCCATGTCTTCACATACACCCTCCAATGGAACCACACTGAACCTTTCCAAGCCTGCAAACACATGCTAGGATTTTATGATTCTGAACATTTGTTTGCTCCAAATATCCAGTGGTCCGGGATACCATTCCCTAACACATCCCCAACCCCCTCCTTGTCCCTTTGTGTTCCCGCCCACTTTGTGATACACTTTCTCTGCAAAGCAATCCCAGCTTCCCCGCCTTCTCTTCTCCTGACCCTCCACATACCCCGGCTCTCTAAATTCAGAGCCCTTATCTCCCCCACCAAGACTGTGACATTCTTAAGGCAAGGGACTGCATGCTGGTTATTTTCTACCTCCTAAGCATCTACCAAAATGCCTGACATTTATTGTAGGCATTTGATGAGTTGAATAAGTGCTTCATTATCATATTTTCTCAATTCTTGGTCCCCATCAATTCTAAAAATGTAGCATCCATTTAAACAGCCCCACCACATTAAACACGGACCTCAATGACAGGATGAGTGCCAGTGCAAAGACATTAACATGTGAAAAAAAAAAGCGCTTCTTGGGATCAAGGACATTTTGGAATCAAGGATAGACAGTAACAGCATACAAACTGGCTAGTAAAGTATATAGGGGTAAGGCAAGAGAGATCTGATGGTCTGGGTGAAACCCAGAAATTATCGGTAAGGCAGAAAAGCTCCACAGTGGCTTCTGCTCTTCTATGGGTACCAAAAGCTATAGTTTTCCCCAAGACAAGGTGTTGTACTACAGACCTACCCATAGAAATCAGGACAAGAACAAGATGGGGGCATCTTACCAATATGATGACTGGATATAAACGAGGCATTTACCTCCACTGCTCCATGAAAAGAAACTACATTCAGTGCCCTTGTTCCAGTATCATATTTTTGTCCCATTTCATCTCACGGAGACATCTGTAAACCTGATGGCTATGGTTGTTGCCACGGATGCTCACCCAAGATCAGTATCTTGGGTTGAGTCAGCGCTACCTTCTGAGAAAGCCTAATGACAGAGTGGAAGAAACCCAGATAGACCTGGGTTTGAATCCGGATCCAGCCAGTTACAAATTAGGTATGTTACTTAGCTCTCTGAGCCCCATCTATAAAATGGGGAGAACACCGCCAAACCTGGAGGGCCCTGGCAAGGGAAACAGACAGGGTGAGTCCCAGTGCCTGGCACAGGAGAGGGCTGGGTACAAGGTGACCACGGTGATGATTGCTCCCAGCTGTGTCACAGACACCTGGCAAGCCAGCCCCCTTCCGGGCCAGAGCTCCCTGGTAACCTCTAGAGGTTTGGGTGGGAAACGCTCCTGGAAACTTGGGAGTTTCCCCCTTCAGATTTTGTCAGCCCTGCAGGGGATAGTTGCTAGATGATTCCTCGCCAGTGGCAGCATTTTTTTTTTTAAGATTTTATTTATTTATTTGACAGAGAGAGATCACAAGTAGACAGGCAGGCAGAGAGAGAGAGAGGGAAGCAGGCTCCCCACTGAGCAGAGAGCCCGATGCGGGACTTGATCCCAGGATCCTGAGATCATGACCTGAGCCGAAGGCAGCAGCTTAACCCACTGAGTCACCCAGGTGCCCCAGTGGTGGCATTTTAATGGAGCCTGGCTGTCTGCTTTCTCCTCCCCAGCCAGTAATCACCTGTGGGGAAACCAATCCCCGGGGCTGGGGGGCCACACTGACTCAATCCCAGGCCCCTTGGCTGCCATAGCCAGAGCCAGCTTCCCTCTCCATGAGGACTCTACCCGGCCCCCCAAGTCCAACACTGGTGCAGTCCTCTGGCCCAGTGCTGCCTGCTGGGTCTGGGTGCTGTGGTCACGCAGGCTGCGGGAACGGCTGGACAAAAGCCTCCTCCACCCAGGCATGCAGAGTCCCAGCCAAAGCTACTGAAGAGTGAATTAAATGCACGAGAATGAGGCTAAACCCAACGCTTTGTTTCAGGGGCTATAATCTGACCTCTGCGCTAAGCAGGTCCCTGGGGCCACAAGCTCACTAAGTGTGCCCATTGTATCCCTACAGGCATGTGGATGCTGCCTCCCAGCCCCCAGCCAGGCCCACAGGCCCAAACACAGCCCCATTTTCCCCAGGGCTCTCAGCATTTTCCTCGGACCAGGCTCCAAGGAATAGACTCCAGATTACGAAATCCTCTGGCTGGGAGGTGATTCCGAATCCTAGAGAACTAGAATTGAATGGAGGAATTATTGCCATGCTCCTTGGGCATGCAGCAATGGGCTCACAGAGGACTCGGGTAAGGTCTCGGGCTGCAGGAACCCAGCAGGTGACCAGCAAGCACTTCCCTTTGCCAAAGGAGCCCCATGTTATTCGCCCATGATTCTCGACCAAGAGGTTGTTTGTAAGCTGTTTTGGGGGGAGTTTCCAAGACCTCTTCTAAAGGAAAAAGAAGTTACGTGGAGAAAGAAAGCAAGGGTCATGGAGTCAGACTGCAGCCCACTTAATTAACTAGTTCTACCACTGTAGTTAAGTTAGCCACTTACCTTTCAACCCTCTGCAGCCTTGGAAATGTTCTTAATCAAACCAAGCCTCAGACTGCCCCTGTCTACTTAAAAACTGGAGATAATTATGGGGCGCCTGGGTGGCTCAACCAATTAAGCATCCAATTCTTGGTTTTGGCTCAGGTCATGATCTCAGGGTCGTGAGATCAAGCCCTGCATCAGGCTCTGTGCTCGGTGTGGACTCTGCTTGAGATTCTCTCTCTCCCTCTGCCTCTGTCCCTTCCTCAGCTTGTGCTCTCTATATCTCTTTAAAAATAAATAACATCTTTAGAAAAATAACAGGAGATAATTATACTTACCTCACTCAGTTGTTGAAAGGATTAAATTAGATAATGTAAATAAAGCACTGAACTCACACAGTAAGTGCCCAGTTAAGCTTAGCTATTTATTTTTATTATCATGTTATTTTTCAGCAACCTATCTGTTCACTCAAGAAGGGCACAGCCAGGTTCCCTGATGGAAACCAAAGAACATACTATTCTGACCAGTCCCAGGGGAAGGGGTAGTCTAAGTTCAGCAAACAGTTTGAAAAAGTTAGTAGGAGAAGGGAAATTTTGTTTTCATACAGAAGTAGTTCAATTACTCTCAGAGGAGAGAAGTAAGGCTTCTTGCAGAAAAGCAGTCAGGCTATAAATTCTATAGAATTGATGATTTACATACACATAATCAAAATGCAAATTCTACCAAGTTTGGTTTCCTACTTTGACAACTTATTTAACATTTTAAATTAATAAGTAATCCCTTTTGTTCTACCTCCCACAACCCCAGCCTCAAATTAATCAACTTTCATATTTAATGGGAAAGTCATGGGCCATGAGGAATTGCAAAGGTAATTAGCCATTTCTAGGATCTCACAGCTCTCAAAGCTCAGGGCTGATCCAGGCCCAAGGGTATGGATACAAACCATGGAGTTTGCTCCTATTCTCTCTGGAGCATGTTGGGAAAGCTGAAATGTCAACTGATGGGTCTTCCTTCAGAGACAAAAGTGTTTATATATCAACCTAAGTGAAATTACTCATTGCTTAACTATACTGTTGAATATGACTGGCATACTTAATATAGGCTTTTATACACTGAAGACGTTGTATGTAAACCTCACAGTAACCATAAATCCAAAACCTAGGATTGATACACACACACACACACACACACACACGAAAGAGAAAAAAAGCCAAACATAACACTACAGGAACTCAACCATCATAAAGAAAGAAAACAAAGGGAGAAAGGAACAGAGAACAACAACAAAACAATGAGAAAACAATTAACAACATGTCAATAAATCCTTACATATCAATGATTATTTTATTTATTTTATTTATTTTTTAAAAGATTTTATTTATTTATTTGACAGAGATAACAAGTAGGCAGAGAGGCAGGCAGAGAGAAGGGGAGAAGCAGGCTCCCCGCTGAGCAGAGAGCCCGATGCAGGGACTCGATCCCAGGACCCTGAGATCAAGACCTGAGCCGAAGGCAGAGGCTTTAACCCACTGAGCCACCCAAGCACCCCTCAATGATTATTT